GACTCGGTTCCACACAAGTTGATGAAGAGCCAAAAAGAATTTACACCGGGTAGCCGAAGAATTCAAAAGGTGGGAAATAATCCTCAATAGCCATTTCGGGCCGGATGCCGGGCGCGAATTCAGTTTATGAGATAATAATTTCTCCTAGGAAGGAGCGTCATCTCCTTTTGAGCCTTCACGCATTTCGTTGAGTCTTTTCAGCATTGCCTTCGCCGCAAGAGTTCTGTTTCCTTCTTCACCGTGGACATCTCGCAGTGTGTCCACGGCCTTTACTAGAAATGGCTCTGCTGCCTTGAGCTCCTCCTGTTCAAGCAAACAATGCCCTATGACCAAGTTGACCTCGCCGATGCGATAGTGACTGTCAGGTAGTATTTTCGCAAGTTTTCGGAGGCTTGTGCGCGCCAGCTTTACTCCAGCATCTAGGGTGTCAGGCTTGCGGCACATGTGACCCGCTACGAAGCTTTCCGAGACGGCCACGGATAAGCTGTCTGGATCATAGTTGAGGCGATTAATTCGAAGTGATTCCTGAATCAGCGGCTCTGACTCTTCGAATCGCCCTTGGCGGCTAAGAAACAGCCCCAGCTTCTCATAGCCCGAAGCGATACTGATGTGTTCGGTATCCCACGCGCCTTTGCGAATTTCTAGGGACTCACGATGAAGTCGCTCAGCCTCTTCCAGATCGGTATTCAGGTCTTCCATGATCTCAGCGAGAAGTGAAATGCCATAGGCCAGCTCGGGGTGATTGGGTGGAAGGACTTCTCGGCGAATTGAGATGACTTGTCTCGCTACATTTGTGGCCTCTTCGTGTCTTGCGAGAAGTGACAGCGCTTTGGCGTGATTGTGAAGGGCATGGGCGGTGTGCTGGTGCTGAAGACCGATACTTTCAGTGAATATTTCCACAGCTCTTCTTGCTGCTGCTTCGGCCTCTTCTCCCCTGCTTTCGTCATGGAGAAGTGAGGAAAGATTCGTGAGAGAAGCTGCAACGCTCCGGTGAGTCGATTCATAAATCTTCTCTTTGACTTGGAGTGATTCTTGGAAAAAATCAATAGCTTCGCCATTGCGATCCTGCCGCGCAAGGGCCCAGCCTATGTTATGAAGCGATGTGGCTACCTCAGGGTGCCAGCGACCGTGTATTTCCAGGTTACTTGCCAGCAAG